TTCAAGCTGATTGGATGGGCACTACCCACACTGGCTGCTGTCTCCACTCTCAATGGAGAATGAGGATTTTTCCAACTTGGTCGCAATGTTGGAATACTAAATAATGTTGGAAAATGATTTGTTGAATTTGCTTTTCAGCTTTTTTTAAAAAATTCTCTTTTATGCTACAATTATGTATTTTTATTTTTTACCAATAAGGAATTTGGTAAAATTTAATTTTTGTAATGTAACAATTAAGGTTTATAGCTATTTAAAAGTACACAAAATTCTTTCTCAGAAGAATGGCTAATGAACCTGAGGGAATGCCTTACTATCCAGAATAACTTTATGGTTCACAAGTAAATCAAACACAGAATTTACTTCAACCTGAAACCATTTCTGGAGAGGAACTCTCTATATGAACTTGTATTACATCTAATTATATTGTATTAGGTTTCTATTAACATAACATTTTTAATTTGCTGGATAGAAACTACTGTAATTATTAATCTCATTTTATGATTTATATTGTTCTGACTATTGATACTGATATTGATATATAATCTGTAGTTTTTAAAGCAATATAATGTAATCAGTTATTCAAACGAACCAAACAAAAAGGATTACAGAAATTTGGTCTATCCTATTTAAGAGCTCAGACACAAGAAGGATTAATTTTTCATCTTTGTGCTATGCAGAAAACCATTCTGGAATACTTGGAAAGGTAGGTCTTGTTTTCTATGCTTGCAAAGAGGAAAGCTATTATCTTGACAACATTTTGAGTCTGTCCTTTCAAATATTGAATTTAAAGAAAGTCACCAAATTCAAATCAATCCCATATTTTATTATGCTCCAGTTACTTTTCATATAATAAAAATCCTAAATTTCAATCTTGACTTCTTCAAAACTTGTCCCAGAAATCCTAAACACAATATATGGTCCTGGCTATATTTTTATTGCTATGGGCAGATTCTTCCCAATTTTCTTCCTTTAGTTGATAATCCATTGGGGCTCCTACTTCTTTTGTCTGATTGTTTCCTAGCATAATGAAATGTGAGAATGACCTTGGGAAAGACGGGAGGAGATGCTGTATAGGCTTTAATCAGACAAGAAAGGTAGGCGCCCCAAGTGACTTAATAATCAGAGAAAGAAACTTAGAAAAGACTCACCCTAATGGATCAAACAGTTAAAAGTAGAAGTGGGATGTTTTGTACTATCCGACTTGCAAATTGCTATTAATGTAGCCATACAATCAAGTAGATTTAGCTCATCAAGCCATGTCTCCTCCTTCATTTATCCAGCAGTAAACACCTTTGCTGATATATTTGCAGCATCTCTTTCTCTCGACCCCCAAAGTCATCCACACATTCCATTACAACACAGGACATAATACAGAAACATCATTGTTAATGCTTATGGATGACCTTTGGAGGGCTCAGCAACAGAGATGGTGCAACTGACAGGCATTGCTAGGGGACCTTTGCACGGATACAGTATGTCTTATATGCCAATTATTCTCATTCCTCAACAGGGAAGCCTTGCAGTCACTTGTACTTTGGTCACTTTCCAGTTGGACTATTGCAACATATTCCACATGAGGTTAGCCTCAAAGACCATCTGGGAATTACAGCTGCTCTAGAATACAACAGCTTGTAGCACACTGAGTGCTTCTCTGTTTACCCATATTATATTATTGCTGTGTGAGATGCCCTGGCTCTGAGTTTCTTTCTGGGTATAATTCAAAGTGTCAGTCATAATCTTTAAAGCCCCATGGCATAGGAACAGGTTATCTGCAGGACCACCTCTCTTCTGAGGGTATATGCTTATCTCACTATATCAGATAAAGTAGGCATGCTCCAGGTCCCTTCCCTCAAACGTTGCCATCTAATGGGGCTTGGGAAGGATGCTTTTTCTATGGCAGTCCCTATCCTGTGGAATACCCTCCCCCTTGTGTTTGGCAGTCTCCCACACTCTTAGCTTTTCAGAAAGTTGTTAAGAATTGGCTTTTCCATTAGGCATTAGGATAACAAGGTTGGATCTCAGGAGACTGTGTAGCTGGATAGATGTCTTTGAGTGAGTGAATGCCATGTTTGCTGTTGGATTGTTTTATTGTTATGTTGTTATTGCTATTAACTGACCAGAGATATGTTTCACATGATGGGCAAGCATACAAATCAATCAATCAATCAATCAAATAAATAAAGAAAGAAAGAAAGAAAGAAAGAAAGAAAGAAAGAAAGAAAGAAAGAAAGAACTGTTCATGCTTTAATGTCTAATAAGTATGTTTAAAATATAATCTTTCAACCTCATTCAGTTAACCCTAATTTGGAAATAAATTATTTCAATGGATCTAACTTTCACCAAGTACACTTGGAATTCCATCCGAATCCCAATGTGGCTTTATGCTCTAATATTTATATCTCAATGTTCAAGCTATAATTAGTGCTGCTAAATACATTTTTTTTTTAATTTATATGCCGCCCTTCTCCGGAGATTCAGGGCGGTTTACAGTGCGTTAAGCAATATTAATTACCATTATTGAAAACCAGAGGGATTAGTGTACAACATCTCTTATGCAGGCAAGTCACTAGAAGCACAAACAAATCCCCTTTCAATGTAGATTATATCTTTAGTTAGGAAGGTTCAAAAACCCATCAAGGGACATTTCATATTATAGTCTTCTAATCTTTATTATTTTTAATAAAATTTGAGTTGGGTCTACCAAGTTAAAAGCAGATTTGTCAATAACTGATGGCTATCTCACCAATCCAATTTACATTTTGCCCTTTTCACAGCTACACAGCTGAAAAACCAAGACTGTGGATATCTCATTCAGAAATGTGAACAGTATGTACTTAAAACATTTTTAACATTCATTTATGCAATGTGACAATTTGCTCCTACTCTCAGTAACAAGTTAAAATTTTATTTTGAAATATAGCTATTTACCTTGCAATCACAACAACAACTTAAATATCTGCTCCTATTATAAGCAGTTATTGCATAAGGACAATTCATGAGCATCGACAATGGGCAATTGATTGCAGAACAGCAATACTAGCTGAAAATCAATGTATGGTAATTGTTAAAAAGAAGAATGCAATCATCTACTAAATATATCTTTTTCAGGAGGTACATATAACATGTTTTTGTGCACGCACACACACACCCAACAAGCTTAGTAATGGCTGCTAAAAATGAAAAATAACTAACTCCATTCTATCACTACAATCCTCTAGCTTTCCTTTCCTTTTTAATGAGAAGAAATGGTTCTGGACCCAATCTGAGTCTTTCAGAAAAGAAAGGAAGGCAACTGAGGTCAACCAATCTTTCTCTCTCATCTTGAAGGTTAGTCCTAGCTGGGGTAGTTTGCATAGGCAGCAGTTCTCAAGTGGTATGAAAGGATGGCAAAAGGGCTAGAGATTACTCTGGAATAATAAGAGTTTTGTTTGAAAAAGAAAGGATCAGAAAGAAGCTTAGAAACTGGCTATCCGAAAGGAACATTATGTTAAAGAAAAGAATGCTACCGAAAAGCTGGCTTCCTTCAGAGCTTTTATGCCAACATAAACTGCAAAATCTAAGTAATATTTCCTCCCACTCTCCAGGGGATCTTTGTCAGTTAGGCTGAATTCTTAAGTGCTTTGTAGTTACCCTTACCCCAATATTTTAGATGTTAATCACTTGCATCCATTCACATTCAGAGCACTCAAAAAGCACTTCAGTTCTCAAAATTTATACTCATGTTTAACCTCTAAATTAAATAAAGAAAACGAAATACTTTTTTTTTTTAGCCACAAGGATTTTTCATATGTCTGTATATACTTTCAGTGAAATTAGGAACTAGGTTTGTATAATTTGTAAAGGTTATTTGCAGCATTTCAGCTGAATTTCTATTTTAGAAGCAAGTTTGACTCATGGATCATCTACCTCACAGATTCGGTATATGATGGATCAGTTTCCTCCACATCTGAAGAAAATATGAAAATAACATGTAGATCTAATCATTCTGAGGAAAACTATGATAATTCCTTTATTTATTACCTTTCTGTAACTTAGAGCAAAGGGAAATGTCAGTGCATTCAGATTTGTAGCTCTGTTTTCTTTTTTCTAGAATAAACTGCAAAGTATCAGCAGAACAGCATATTAGAATAGCCCAGAAGTGAAAGACAAGCCTAGAAATAAAGATCTACTGAAAGCACATCACAGAATAAGTACCTACTGAAATTAGACTTCATTTTTATATATATAATTTTAGTCAATGCAGAGAAACAAATCTGCTTTGAACTGTTTCATATTATTCCCAATGGATAACATTACAAGATTCAAAATGAAACTCAGATGTTATTCTGTGTTGTTTAAAAAAGACTGTATTAGATATGCTTCAAGACAAGCTTTTTTTTTTTTAATTTTTATGTTCTGTGTTGGACATCGTTTGTGATAGTAGTAAAAAGCATTTATTTCAGAAATAAGCTTTTGGAGTTCTGAGATTGTTCTTTCAATGCCAACAAAATGGTTGCTATGAGGAAACTCCGTTGACTGAGTCTGGCCTGTCATAAAAGATAAATTTATCAGAAGGTAAACTGCTAAAGATGCAGCTCCCTGACCCTCTCTAAGCAGCAATGACAACAGGAGGAGAACAAAGGGAGCCAGAGTGATGCAAGCAGCATCATGATATTGTAACACAAGCCACTTGTCCTCATCTACATTATAATGCCATGCCCATGGCCATAAAGGAAGGATTTTGCTCCAGACTCAATGGTGTGCTCCGCTCTATCCTCCAGCTTATTTTTTTCTGACCAAACAGATATACCTCTACAGAAAACACTAGGCTGCAGTCATTCATTATTATTATTATTATTTTTAAAAATGCCCATGGGGCATATGTGGATTTAAGGCAATTCAGATTTTTTAAAGTGTTAAAAGCTGGCACCATGTTTTGCAGTATGTTCCTTTCTATTTTTAAGTAAAAAGTATTTTTAAAAATTAGTCCAAGGGGAAGATAGCCAAGCAGACACCAAGGTGGATATCTATAAGGACTTCTTGGCTCGTTTCCAGTCTTTAACCAGACCTTTGATCTGTCCTGGATAAATAACCTCAAAAAGAAAAGAAAGGTTGGTATGATTTTTTTTTTAGCTATAGAACTTCTGCTGTGAAAACAGCAGCATCTGTTTCAAAATGTCATAGTTATATATAGAAACAGCACATCTTCTTAGATGAAGCACAGGCAACAAATCCAGAAACCCACCTCCAGCTGCCTCAGTGTCAATGGAGACATGTGTTCCCTCCCTCCTGTCCAAATTCTCTGTTTGTTTAGACTTATTTTCATTACTCAGTGGGCTTCTCTATCTAATGCATTCTCTTTGCAGATTCCAAGCACATTGCAGGATGTTTAAAACTCTTAAACTGAGTAGCACTTAGGAGAGGTGCCTTGCCAAAGGAATCTGGGCGCCAATCCAGAAATTTCTTACCCCACTATCCTACCACCATTTTATCTTTATAATACAGAATTTCTCCTTTTCTGGGTCATAAGATGCAGTCTATATTCCCTGTCACATATGGTTAGTTTGGTACTACCAAGCCGAGGCAGATGACTTGATAACTGATGGGCAAAAGTCATCTCAATTTGTCTCCAATAATAATCCATGGCCCTTCTAAGAATATTTCAGTAATCTCTATGATTCTATATATCCACAGTCTTCCCTTTCCCTCTCCTATGCCAAACGTAGATAGTTTTCCAAATGCGTAGCAAAGTATGGGAATTTCTGCTTATTAATAGTTGTCTCAAGAAACAATTGCATTTATTTTGCTTCAGATTGATTCTTCTTTTAGGCATGGTACTCTTATTACTCTTAGCAAATTACCTACATACTGGAATAACTGAAATATCACTTTTGTCTAGTTTTCTCAATATATAGCTTTTACAACCATATAATCACTGGAATTAAAACTTTGCTTTAATTATATTGAATTCTGTTGTAATAGTATTCTTATCCTTCATGATCTTGTCTAAGCTGTGATTATCTTCCTCTCCAGCATTATATAATCTTCTACTGACTTTCCGAGATTGTTCTATTGTTCAGGATAAAAAAATTCTACACTTTCACTTGTTTCCTATAAATTGTAAGTTCACTCAGTGCTAGACTTCATGCCCGGTTCAGCAATAAATTTCCACACTAAAAGATTAAGGAATTCACTAATGGCAAAGCCCACAGGAACAACATGACTAAATAAATGGCTTTACTTCAAACAAAATAGAAGCCATAGTTTATGGTGGTTAATATCAACATTATCTTAATATTTAATGCTAAACAAGATTTTTCCTCTTTGTTTTTACTTTAATAATGAGAATTTCCTAGCTTTCTAAGCTTTCAGTTAACAAAGTGGCAACATTTGCAGATCTCGGTTGTTGGTGGTTTGGTGTCTAATTTTGATTCCAGGAAACATCTCTCCAGATTCTACCACACATATTTCTTGTGTAAATTAAAGACATGTAGCATAAAACACATCTTTGTCTCACTTCCTTCCCTATTCCGAATCATTTTTAAATCTGCTCATGAAATTTTAATGTTCTTCCCCAGTAAGTATCACCAACTGTTCCTGCTCATCTGGCACATTCCAGCAGAGTGGGGATGCTCCAGGACTCTTTTAATCAATGATGTCATCTTATGGGAAGGAAGCATGCCTTATGGGTCTGTCACAAACCCAACCTCTGGAACAGTGTTCCCCCAGAGATACAGATAGACCCCTCTCTCCTAGTGTTATGGAAAGCACTTAAGACCTAGCTTTGGTCTCAGGACTGGGTTGTTATGTTGGTGAGGATCTTGGTTTGGTTTGGTTTGGTTTGTTATTGTTATTGTTTGATTGTTTTAGTCTTGGTCCCAATGGGTTGTGTGTTTTTAATGCATTCTATTATTTGCATATTTAGTTGTAAGCTACCCAGAGTCTACGGCTGTGGACTGTAACAAATTTATACATAATACATGTAAATAATAATAATGAGGAGCAGAGGAGAACAACACTGACTCCTGAATCCCTTTGGCACCTAAACTTGTGTAATGTTATAGCCGTGCCTATACTATTCTCCTGGCAACAACACAAAAGTGGTTTGCTTTCTTCCATGTTTGATTCTGGAGCTCCATTTCCTAAGTTTGTTGGCTTCCCTCACACTACAAAGTCCCACCTGCCCTCATCTCATTGTTAATTCCTTTAACTTCATATCTTTCCTTTTTGACCAAGCTTGTATGATAACTCCACCAGGGTACTATCAGCTCATCAAATGTTGAAGGAAAGATATTACTGAAAAACATTATACTAAGATTATCATAGCAGTTATTTCTTAAATTTGTACTCTGCAAAGGATATTTTCTGAAAACATTCCAATTGCATGGGATATCATTTTTTCACTTTTTTAAAGCCCTTGGTTCAAATACCATTTCAGCCCAGAACATTGAAAAATGTTAATCCAAAGCAAAACCTACAACACAAATGCATATTTGAAATGACTATTTCTAAAAATGTTAACCTGTCAAGGTAAAAGGAATTAATAAAAATTATTAAAAATGCAAGATAGGTCTATGTTTCTCTTCTTCTCTAGGTTCGCCAATCAATATTGCTTACAAAAGCTTCAAAAAACTTTTTCTTTTACATTTGACTATTAATTCATATTTCATGTCTAGAATAAGAATGAATTCTCAGAGTGCTTCCATTAATCAAACACAGATGTGTATTCTTAGTTTAAAAGTAAGTTGTCTGAAAGCTTAATAGTTTGCAAGGAGAAATAGAAGTTCATCAGGAAGTGGCTGCTGGAAATCTTATCAGGCAATCATATAATACATCTGATAAAAAAAACAAGATTTGTTTGATTTTTGTAATAATCAGCTTTGATAAGTGTGATTTCTATATTGTTTCATTCCCTAACAAGCATATTTATTTTTAAACAAATGTTTAAAAAACACAACAGGAAGCATGGGTAGCAACACTATTTCACTCCATGAACAACTACTGTATAATAAATTCTTTTTCAGTAGAAGAGGAAAATTTTCTTCTTCCAACATTAGTAGTAAAATACAAACATTATGGACTATGTATATACTGATAATTAAGCAGGTTATTTTTTTCACCATTCATAAATTTTTCATGGAGTGAAAATGTACTTCCTTAAATTAGCCAACATAAATGCCTTCTACATTTATTGTGACATACCTTTGGCCAACCCAGCTGAGAAATTTGGGGCTTAATTGCAGCGTATCTGAAAAATTCTAGTTTGGGAATTGCTGTTCTCTACTATTCAGCTTAAGTTCAATTACCATCAGGAATGTTTTGAGAGTCTTATTCTCAGAAAAGTTTTAATGTAAGATAAGAAGTATTGGAAAACAAAGTTCTCTTTTAAACACAGGAATTGCTTCAGTTCTGTCAATACCTATATTGCCCTTTTATTACCTATAAAAGATCTGAAACTAAACATAACTTACCTGAAGTTATCTAAGTAAAAGTGTTATCAGCCAACCTGGTATTTACCGGTATCTATGTTGAAAGAATATATGGGCTTCTTACCTGAGTTGTTTTTGCTCGTCTGCCATGCATACTGTTGCTGTGGTTCATTTTGATGTGAGTGATTCCTTCAGAAAGGCAATGAGATTTCCGACATGGAAGTGTGTTGTAAGTACTATAAGAAGACACATTATCCACTGTGTTTGGTGATATTTTGTGGTTTTCCATATCTGGGATATGAGACCCTATATTCCGGCAATACCCTCCTAGCATGTTACGTGGTCCACCATTTATTGTAACAGTTGAACTTTTAGGAGAATACAAGTCATTCATGGAATTGGCACGCTGGCATGTGACCAATGGTTGACGACTATTACTAGGTTCTCTCCCTGGAGTCTCCTCGCCATCCTTTTCTTCAGGAGATCCTAGGATCTCTTCATTGCTTGTCAAATGTTCTTGACTAAGATCAGACAGAGAAAATTCCAAACTGTCCTCCCGCCAGATATCTGCAGACTTTGAACGTTTTTTCTTGAAAGTCATAGGCTCCAAAAATGTGGTCCCGTTTGTTGAATAAGAATGTTGCCTACCACCTACTTCAGTCAAATATGTTGACTCATCTCTGTAGAGTCTTCCACCTTCTGAATCTGGCATGCTTTGTACCGAGGCTGCCATAAGGGCTGAACTGCTATCCATGCTTGGAGTGACAGAAGAATCAGTGTGGTAAGAAACTGGCCTCAAGCCCATATCCATTCTGTCCCCCCAGATTGGGTTTCCAAAATTCCCTAAACTGGATTCTTGAGTAAAAGATTCCAGACAATTGTCTGCTAATGATTGAGGGATGCTGGGAGTACTGCTAGATCTTGTGCTTACTTCTGAGTTTCTGTGAATAATTTTTCCTGAGGATGCATGTCTAGTCCGGCGTACTGCTTTGTTTGAAAGGCGGAGAGAACGTGATGTATGCTTTCGGCTCAAACTAGCATGTTTCTCACCATAAAATTGATGTTCTACACTTTGGCTCTCTGCATTTCCCATTGTTTTAATACCTGCAAGAATGCAAAATGTAATTGTTAGAAACTGAATATACAATGGTGCTTGATCTATGCTCTATAAACTTTAAAATGTTACTTTTTCCTTTTTTTTAAAGCCTGGAATATGTCCTTGTGTATCACTAGCAAATAGGTAACTTACATATATTCGTCTACATAGATATAATTATAAGCTCTTCTTTTCTTCCTGGGAAGTAATTATTACTTTGACCAAAGTGATTGTAATTATTAATCATTTGGATAATGTATTTTCCTACAGTATTACTTAATCTCCTTTTGCATGTTAGTATGATCCCATATGATATACCTTCTTATTATTCCTATTTATTTCAAACAAGTTTAGAGTTACATGTGACATTTTTACATTATATCTTAGCAGGTGATCAACAGTTATTTAATTTGTACCATAAATAAAAGCTGCAAAATTTAGCTTGGTTGAACATAATTAAGGCTTATATTGGGTCCATTTTTTTACATTTAAAAGCATGGTATAAACACAATTGTTGGGGAAATCTGAAATAATAAAAAAGAATAGCTTTACTAGAAGCAACCCAAATATTATGTACAAGCTACAA